AGAAAGAAAGAAAGAAACTATAAAAAACTCTAGAAGAAAATGTGGGAAAACCACTGGACAATATTAGCCTGTGCAAAATTTTATGATTAAGGCACCATTGGCCATCAGGAACAACCAAAATCAATAAATGGGACATGAGCAACCTGAAAAGCTTCTACAGAGCTAAAGATACAACAAGTTACAAAATATGCAACCTTCAGAATGGGAGAAGATAATCATGTTATGAATCTGACAAAGGGCTATTAACCAGAATCTACGAAGAGCTAAAGCTAATCAACAAGACAAGAACACAAAACAACCCCATTGAGCAAGACACATGAACAGAACCTTATCCCAAGAAGACAGTACAATAGCCAAAAAACACATGAAAAAAAATGCTGATCTTCCCTAATCATCAGAGAAATGCAAATCAAAACCACCTGGAGAGATCACCTAAATCCAGAGAATAGTTACAAAGTGCCAAAGTTGCAGGTATTGACATGGTTGTAGAGAAAAGGGAAACGTACACACTGTTGGTGGGATTGCAAATTAATACAGCCTTTTTGGAAAGAAGTAAGGAGAATCTTCAAAGAGCTAAGAGTAGACTTCCTATTTTATCCCACGATCCCATTACTAGGAATCTACCTGGAAGAAAAAATAATTATTTTACTACCAGACATTTGCAAAATGTTTATAGCAGCTCAATTGACAATCACAATGGTGTGAAAACAACCCAAGTGCCCATTACCCCATGAACAGATTAACAAACTGTAGTATATGTATGCTGCGGAATACTATTAAGCCATAAAAAGATGAAGATTTTACATCTTTTGTTTTTACCTACATGGAGTTGAAGAACATTCTCCTTAGCAAAGTATCTCAAGAAAAACAAGCATCTGGCTAGGCGCCTGTGGCTCAAGCAGCTAAGACACCAATCACGTACATCTGAGTTGGCCGGTTCAAATCCAGCCCAGGCCCACCAAACAACAATGATGGCTACAACGAAGAAATAACCGGGCAATGTGGCAAGTGCCTATAGTCCCAGATATTTGGGAGGCTGAGCCAGAAGAATCGCTTGAGCCCAGGAGTTGGAGGTTGCTGTGAGCTGTGATGTCACTGCACTCTACCCAGGGTGACAGCTTGAGGCTCTGTCTCAAAAGAAAAAAAAAAAAAAGCCAGGCGTTGTGGTGGGCGCCTGTAGTCCCAGCTACTTGGGACACTGAGGCAAGAGAATTGCCCAAGCCCAAGAGCTGGAGGTTGCTGTGAACTGTGATGCTACAGCACTCTACTGAGGGTGACAAAGTGAGACTGTGTCTCTAAGAAAAGAAAAACAAGCATCCCATGTACTCAATACTAATTTGAAACTAATAGATGAACAATCACAGGCTCATGCATGAAGAAAGACACAATTATATTCAAGAAAGAGGAGGGGTGGAGAGGCTTAGTAAGTTCTCGTCTAATGGGTACAATGGAGGGGTATATGGGAAACCAGGATAAAGGACTCAAATACAACTCGAACTTTTCCTAACAAACAACAAGTAATATAAGTTAATCATATGTACCCTTAATGTTAAAGTTAATCGTATTAACCTGAAATGTAAAAAGGAATGAGTCATGACAAAGAATGGAACTTAATCATGGAGCTATAAGACAAGTCACATAATGACATTGCTCTGGGATGGGGCTTTTGAGGATTTTCAAGCTTCTATGTCCCTCCAGTGCAAGGCTGGTGGTTTCCACAGATACTAGGGATCCAAGCTGCTCTTTTTCAAAGCTAGTTCAGAGCTGGGGAGAAGTGGAGGGGCACAAGCCAAGGTTAAATTACACATATTCCATTGTTTTTTGTTTTATCTTTTTTTTTGGTGTGTGATTTGATACTCAAGGATCTCGAAGCATCAGATCAGTGTGTGTGTTTTAAGGTCTTTATTGATCGGGGAGGGAGGCTGCAGAGTAGCACCAAGGAGGAGAGAAAAAGAGGAGAGAGTTAAGAGGAGAGAGAAGGAGAGAGGGAGGGGAGAGGGGGAAAGAGAGAGCTTGGGTGTTTGTTTGTTTGTTTGTTTTGAGACAGATTCTCAAGCTTTCACCCTGGGTAGAGTGCTGTGGCGTCACAGCTTACGGCAACCTCAAACTCTTGGGCTTAAGCAATTTTCTTGCCTCAGCCTCCCAAGTAGCTAGGACCACAGGTGCCTGCCACAACGCCCAGTTAATTTTTTTTGTTCTTGCAATTGTCATTGTTGTTTTAGTTGGCCCAGCCAGGTTTGAACCCGCCAGCCTCAGTGTATATGGCTGGCGCCCTCCCACTGAGGTATGGACACCACCCAAATCCTACTGTTGTTACTGAGGTTCACACTTAGACTTTCTTCCTGAATAATAGCTGTAAGCTCTTGGTTAATTTCTAAAGTTATAATAAAAGTTGTCACTGACAGTATTTATGTTGCTTTTACGGAAGAACGAACATACAGAAACCCTCACTCTTCTGCAAGTGCCACCTCATCACTACGTTTATTTTAGCACAAGAATATCAGAGTATAAAATTTCTAAATCTTATACATAAATACTCTATGTCTTGGCTCGGCGCCTATAGCTCAACCGGCTAAAGCGCCAGCCACGTACACCTAAGGTGGCGGGTTCGAATCCCCAGCCTGGACCCGCCAAACAACAATGACGGCTGCAACCAAAAAATTGGTGGGGGTTTGTGGCGGGCGCCTGTGGTCCCAGCTACTTGGGAGGCGGAGGCAGGAGACTCGCTTGAGCCCAGGAGTTGGAGGTTGCTGTGAGCTGTAATGCCACGGCGCTCTACCCAGGGGGACAGCTTGAGGCTCTGTCTCAAAAAAAAAAAAAAAAAAAAATACTCTATGTCTTATAATGATTAAGTGGCTTCCCATGGTTCTACTTGTAGTTAGTCCACAAAGCAGTTACTGTTTGCAAAACACAATATTGCATCCAATTTCCTCTAGAGAACCATTAAAAATTCAAATATGCTCCCAAATTATTTTTACCTAACCTTGGCTCTGTGTTTCCATCAAACATTTCAAAGAAAAAAAAAGGATTCATAAAAAAACCAAGCTGTTGCTAACACAGTTTATGTCTGCCTTCCAAATGAAGTTGAAAGTCACTGTCATCCAAATTGTTTTATCATCAGCATCTTAGGTGTATGTCTTTCATGTTCTAGAAATCAACACATCCTTGCTTGAATAAGTGAATAACCAGATTCTTTGAAGAAAAGATAGTCTAAGCAAGAGTGACACCCCATCTGTACTAAAAGTAGAAAAACTAGCTGGAAGTTGTGGCAGGCACCAGTATCCCAGCTACTTGGGAGGCTAAGGAGGATCAGGAGGATCCTTGAGCCCAGGAGTTTGAGATTGCTGTGAGCTATGACACCAGAGTACTTGGAAGGAAGGGAGGGAGGGAGGGAGGGAAGGAAGGAAAGGAAACTGTGTTGTAAATGGCACCACTAGTAACTTGGAAATTTATTCTTCACTATTGAAGAATAAAAATTTGATACTCAAGAATCTCGAAGCATCAGTATCAGGGGGCTGAGGGTGGGATAACACGCTGCTAGAAAAGTGGTCGTATGTTGCAGCCAGAGGCGAGATTTGAAAAACACAGTATTATACGTAGTAAGGATAGAATTGATGAAGTAAAACAAAATGAAGGTGGTTGCCAGAAGCAGGATGGTCTGAGTGGCTTTTGCCTCAGGGGAGAATCTGTGGGAGGTGCTGAGGGTGTGAATATGCCTCACTCTCTGGTGGTGTCTGTGTAGGAGAAGGACCATGTAGACACTGGCCCCAGCCATGAGCCCCTTGAACACAATATCTGGGAAAGTCAACAGAGCTGTGTATTTTACAGCAGAACTTGTTTCAGGATTTGTAGAAAAGCAGAGCCCATAATTCGATGTCTTAGTAGCATTGTGGCCATGCTGAAGGGCCTCTATATACCAAGGAACCAATATGTTCACTAGCAGGTTGGAGATCCAGCAGAGGAAGCAGGAGAAGCCAATATTCTTCAAAGCTGCATCTTTGAGTTTCATCCACCCCCTAGTTCTAGGGCTGATGATGATGGCCTGAAAACTGCTCAAGTGGCAAGTAGTGCAGAGAGAAATGCCCCGGGCTGTTCTGTGTATATGATTGACAAGTTTACACCCCATATTTTCCAGGGTGTTTGTTATTCCCCAGATAAGTATTATCTGAGGGATCCCCTTGAAGAGAATAAAGAAGAAGTTGGCCACAGCCAGGTTGGTGAGGATCAGGTGTATGGGCCTGGGTGTCTGGCTGGTCCAGGCTGTGGAGATGGAGGATAAGAGAAGAAAGGTGTTCCCCAGGACCCCAGTCCCAGTCTGGAGCACGAACAATAGCCTCAGGATCAAATCACCAGGAGTCATTGTCATGGGATCATGGAAGATGTTGTTCAAAAAAGAGCATGAAGGCCAGGCGCGGTGGCTCACGCCTGTAATCCCAACACTCTGGGATGCTAAGGCTGGTAGATTGCCTGAGCTCAGGAGTTAGAGACTAGTCTTAGCAAGTACAAGATCCCATCTCTAAAAATAGATGGATGTTGAGGTGAGCTCCTGTAGTCCCAGCTGAGACAAGAGGATCACTTCAGCTCAGGAGTTCTAACTCTGAAGGTCACAGAGTTAGAACTAAGAGTAACAGCACCAGTCCCAGATGTGCTCCAATATTCCCAGTTCTAACAGGGCCTCCTGGGCCCTCACTAACTCTTCTTTGTGAGGACAGCAGTTACATTTACAAGGAGGGAAATTTACACTGCTAAACTCAGAGCTGCCACTCAGAGTGGCCAGCCTGGCCTGTTTCTTTTTACACTCATTCTGCCATGCGGGATGGGGCAGTGTTTATCTGTTTATGAAATCCTCAGTGCGCATGCCCAGGGCACCATCCACAAGGAAGGCTTTATCTGTCATGTGACAGTGTGTCTGAAACAACCTGTGTGCAGAGTTGGCTTTCAGTGCTTGGATATAGAAAGATTAACTGACCTGGGTCATTGTTCCTAAGGGCTCAGAGCCTACAATGGAAGACACAAATATAAAATATGATAACAGAGAAATGAAAATCATGCCATGGATGATGGATACACAGGGTGTTGTGGAAACAGGTATCAGGGGTTGTATCAGTGGTGCTATGCTTGTATACAGAAATTTTTTTTTTAACTTAGTGTATTTTTCTCCTAACATCTTTAATTAATGCTTATGTATATCAGAAGTAATAAAATAATACAAAGATATACAGGGTGTACATAAAGTTTGTGTGCAATTTACAATGTAAAACTAACTAGAAAAAAAGAGTTAATCTACATCCCATCTCATTTATTATCCTACTCCTCTGAGATAACCATACATCTCAAGTGTAGATTGTTCCTCAGATTTCTTCATGCTCTTGCAAAATGTGTGTGTTTCAGCAATCTGCAATAAACACAGGACTAAATAAGGTGCTTATGTTTAGAAATTTAAAGCATTCTTTCTCATAATTCTTGATCAAAGAAAACAATTATACTGGAAACATGGCATTTAGAAGATAATAATATACCATGATCATGTGAGACTTATGCCAGGAATGCAGGGCAGTTCAATATTGTAAAATCTATTTTTTTTTTTTTTTTTTTTTTGAGACAGAGCCTCAAGCTGTCCCCCTGGGTAGAGTGCCGTAGCATTACAGCTCACAGCAACCTCCAACTCCTGGGCTCAAGCGAGTCTCCTGCCTCCGCCTCCCAAGTAGCTGGGACCACAGGCGCCCGCCACAACGCCCGGCTATTTTTTGGTTGCAGCCGTCATTGTTGTTTGGCGGGTCCGGGCTGGGGATTCGAACCTGCCACCTTAGGTGTACGTGGCTGGCGCCTTAGCCGGTTGAGCTATAGGCGCCGAGCCTGTAAAATCTATTAATAGATGATATTGAGAAATTTCATCTGATGTCTCCATTAATGCTACCCAAACCTTTGAAAAAATCAACAGCATGAATTAAAACAATATTCAGAGATATGAGAGTGTATTGATATTTCCATAGCAAGATTATGTATGTCTATTCTAGTGCTTCATTTATGCTTTGCTTTACAAATATGCAATGAAGACCACTACATGAATTAATAATTACCATCATCCTGTAAACATGAGTCAATGTAATTATACAAGAGAAAATAAATTAGCATAAAAACTCAGAGACAAGTAAACTCTTTGTAGATGACATTTTAGTATAATAGCACAGCACTAGAGCATCACTGTTAAAAATTAACTCAGTTAATATAACTTAGGAATGTAGCAATCTATAAAATTAATATACAGAAATCAATAGCTTTCATATACACAAGTAATAATCAGTTCTATGATGAAACAGAACACCCTAACTACAAAACCAATCAAAAGACAATGTTTAAGAATACAATTAGGAAGAAACATAGAAAAGCTTGATGAAGAAAAGTCTCAAACACCCCAGGAGTACACCAAAGTGATCGATGGAAGTCATCTCTCATTCCTGGGCAAGATATAAAAATATCATAAAGACATCACTCCTCCATAAGTTAATGTAAACATTTAATGAATGAAGTAAATATAACCCCCACAATCTTTTCTCTAGAACCAAACAAATTGACCCCAAAAATTAAGTGGAAAATAACCTGCAAAGTTCGGGAAATGTAAAAAAAGTACTATGAGCTATGGAGCAGCTCCCCCAGATACTAGAACATACTGCAGAGTCTCCACATTCAAAGTGTAGCACCTGTGTCTGTAAGCCATGCGCCTCTCTTCTTCAGACAAACTTCTGCTCGAGTCCCTTGCCCACAATGAAATGGGATCACTTGTTCTTTTCTTATTAGTAAGTTTGAGTTCTCTGTGGATTCTGGTTATCAGATCTTTGTCAAAAACATAACCTGCAAATATTCTCTCCCATTCTGAGGACTGTCTGCTTGCTTTACTTACTATGTTCTTGGCTGTGCAGAAGCTTTTTTGTTTGATCAGATGCCAGTAATGTATTTTTGGTGGTGCTTCAATTGCCCAGGGAGTCCTCCTCATAAACTGTTCTCCCAGGCCAATTTCTTCAAGTGTACTCTCTCCAAGAATCTTTAGAGTTTCATATCTTAAGTTTAAATCTTTTATCCAGTGAGAGTCAATTTTTGTTAAAGGTGAAAGATGTAGGTCCAGTTTCAGTATTCTACAAATCACCAGCCAGTTCACCCAGCACCATTTGTTAAATAGGGAATCCTTCCCCCAATTTAAGTTTTGGATAGGCTTATCAAAGATCAAATGATGATAAGTGTCTGGGTAAATCTCTTGGTTCTCAATTCTGTTCCATTCAGCTACCTCTCTATTTTTGTGCCAGTACCATGCTGTTTTGCTCACTATAGATTTATAGTATAGTCTGAAGTCTAGTAGCATGATTCCTCCTTATTTGTTTTTATTTCTGAGTAATGTCTTGGCTATTTGAGGTTTTTTCTGATTCCA